CGTATTTACGAGAATCTTCGCCAGCTGAGGGATTAAAGGCGCAGATTTACTACCTGAGTTTGGATCGGGTTGAAATAGGCGAAATTGTATATGGATTCAAATGACTTATTCCGCAAAGTTGTCACCGGTAACGGATCAAGAGGTAGTAAATCTGTAAAACAGCTCAAGTATCCTTGCCTGGGCAATAAAGCGATTATATAAGAGGTTAAGGGCTGGCAAAAACATCCACCACAGTTTTGAACACATTGAACGCCGCCTGAATTGTCGGCAATACACGCGATACTCTCGTTTCTCGCGTTTGTGTACTGCCCGCAATTCACGTTTTGCGGGTCGGTTTTTTCGTGGATAATAGTGCGACTTGAACCACTCTCACCGAGTATATCAAAACTGACGTTCAAATCTTCTACGTTGGCCAGATTCATCTGTGTAGTTAAAAGAAGTCATCATTGCTATTGAACAATGTAGAAATGAGCGCAAAAGCAACCAGAATGAGCGGGTAAAGGGGTATGCGGCACAAAGACTCCCGTTTCGCGCGTTTGTGTATTGCACGCAATTCACGCGCGCGGAGACGCAAGAAGTGAACACGGGAGTCACCGCAAAAACGCTGCGGCGCTCAATGTGTTAAACTGCCGACGCCACCTGTAACAACATATAAGCTTTAGATCTAGCGGTTCGTGCGAAGTAAGGAACCGATCTTGGTTTTGCGTAGGTGTAAAAATATATCTCCCATACGTTGGTTCCCTTGGAAAATATAAAACACGAAAATTGAGCATGTGAGTTACCTTGCGCAAAACGCACAACGTACAGTTTTGTGATACGCCCGAGACGGGTTGTAGCACCCCAGCCCATTCAAGACACTGCGTCGTCTGCCTGAAGGGTGAAATCCTTTCCGAGTGTAAGAAGAGCAAGGAAACGAGTGTGCCACTTTCGCCGCACGGAAGTGCCCGGAAGGGTGCTAGGAGCCTGCGATTGCCATGAACCCCGCCCATATTGGGTCAAGATGTCTACGAACAAACGAAAGGTGACGTTGCGACTGCTACTCATCGTCGTCGCGCGCGTTTCTATTGCTATGAATTAGCTGGACCTTAGTTGGGGCGTTTTCGACGGCTTCCAGTACCTTTTCCTTCACCAGAAAATGAACTGGCGCATAAAAAACTGTTTTTGAACCCCATAACACATGATATGCAATCGCGGAATGTGTCCTTCAAGATACGACGTACGCTCAACAAGGAGGATCCTGACTTCTTCCATGGATGAGACGGTCCGTAGCTTTGGGAGTGTGACACTTTTGTCACTCAGAAGTACGAAGAAATGAGCTTGGAGCACAGTGATGGCTAACCAGGGAAGTCCGCCAACTTACCATGGCACTTTGAAAAGTGACCTGGGTAGATCGATAGTGTCTATAAGGTTATTTACAAATACAGAATCAATCGAGTCGTGGTGGTTCAGTGGTGAGGTTCGACGTTTGACGACTAGATTCGACGTATGTGATTCCTCGCTTACGTTTCACAGCTCACTAGCAAGCCTCCACGCTACTGCACCATTACAAACGTTACCAGCTCATAGGTTGCTTGTGAAGTGCAGGTTGCAATTTGCTATCTATAACTTTTTGTAAATACCCTTACAGACTCTGTCGATCACCCCAGGTCTCCATTCAAAATCCATGGTAACTTGGCGGACTTAGTGAGTGCTGTTTCGGTCTCCAGCGACAGGCAGAACAGGCATATGCGTAGCGAGCCGCAAGACGAGACATGGATGCATCCATAGATAAACGCGCTATTTTTCTGCGCACCTTCATGTTAAATTGTTTTCTTCCTTTGGCAATCGTACATACGAATATGTGGGAGCTTGCTAGCTGCGGACCTGTTTGCCTGTTGTAGAAATTTGATCCGACAACATTGAGAGGTGATTTATTCCTTTTCCTCTCCTAGTTTTTGTGGTTCGATCGTTATTGTGGTCCATACTATTAGTCAAGCATTATTATGTTCTGGTATGCAATATTCTCCGAATTTGGTCCCTCCCATGTCGACACGTGGGTCTGGTGGGGTTGGCGGACCTACGAAGTTGGTATCTGGAGCCGCTTGATGCCTGATGCGACTTGCAGTGTTGGCGGGCCACTGCTCTTCACCACCAAGCTCCCCACTCCATCTCATAAGCCATCTTGCTCCTCTTCCACTTCATAATGTGAGCCACCACATCGAAGATGTAACTCTTTCCTCCAGTGTGTTTTGTAATCAAAATTTTTTTCTACTTACTTTGTCGCATATTTGCAATAGTTGGCATTTTTTTCTCTCATGATGTTTTTCTTTAGTAGCCGATAATAAATGTTAATGTCAGATCCCTTTTGTAGGTAAGCACGCTCTGAAGGACGCCTACGAATTGTTGAGAGCACAACGCGCTGTTTGCGATATGCATGCGGGGCTTTTCTTTGAGCAGCACCACTTTTTGAAAAAATTGCGTTTTGCTTCAATCCTAATTGACTCATTTTGAAAGCAAAAACAGTTTGGCAAAGAGAAGGGCGCATAGTGTTTAGCAGATACCTGTATGAGCTTTGTAAGATTTCGGCAGTATACAGTTGTGCATTGAAAGTGCCACTACAGTGTCGTCAACGAGGAAATAGTCGCTTGCAACACGAAGTTGGAACACATTGGTGAGTTGATGATCCCGAATCGGGATAGTGAATACCAGATGCTGTGGTTCAACGGCTTTCACCTGAGCTTTGAGTGATACTTACGTCGACATTTTTCTCAAAATAATATCCAACCTTCTTCTTATTTATTGCGATTCTCTCCTGATGGATTATCAGATTTTCATCTATATTCTCTAATGTTAACCAGAAGGACTGAGCTCCGGTTTTTCCTAAAAAGCGATCATTCCAATAGAACGCCGGAGTCAACGTGGCGGTAACTTGCATGATTGTGCTGAAAGCATTTCAAAAAACCTCGCAAAATGAAATAAAACAAGCTGTTAAGGCTTACTAAGTGATTGGCTTAAGAACAGCTTCAACTTCCAACCGTGGCAACATTCGCATCGTCTGGTACAATTTTTCTCCATCACAGCTGAACATGTAGCCTGCAAGAAAGAAAAGCATAGACTAGAGGACGTACGCAACGAACGGATTTACAGCTCCAGGGACAATAGCGATGCAAGGTAGCTACCTAACTCCTTCGCAGTGAGATCCAGTAGCTGAGACTCCGTGAGCTTCCGTCGCTCCACCTTCTCAATAAGGTCTATTCGAAGGAACTCATCGAGCTGCCTGAATAAAAGAATGGATGAATAGGTATCATGTTTGCAACGAAAAAATATCTGAAAAAGCTCTTTGCAGGACATTTCAACGTTTCCTGGGAAGCGGAAATAATTTCATTCTTCAAACGTCCGTACCCCATTTTTGCTCCTCCGTTCCCACTTCTGGGCGTGCGAATGCCGCCCTTAAAGGCAAAGTTCAAGCACCATCACAGACAGCGGATTGGGAGTTCGCATATAAACGGCAAGGCTCTGGGTAGCTCGAAGGTGTAGAAAGACGGTAAAAACTGCCAACTACCCTAGATAGAGCCCCCATTTGTATGTGCCCAGCTATTTTATTTCCAACCTGCGCCCTCATCCGCCCGTCTGGTTCCCCGATGAGAACTCTACGACCCTATGAGTGACGGTCTTCATGCTTTTTTCTGCAGCATCGTTTTTCATTGAAAGGCGGGCCTTGAAGGGAGTCACTGGAAGAAAGGAGGCGCCCCTGAACGTACAGTCGTCATCCTTGCACTTGATAGGGGCGTGTCGGCGAGAAGGAGCGTGCACACTGTTTGAAGCCTTCTCAGCCTTTTCGTTGAAACGCGTATGCGACAAAAAGTGATAGAAAACGAGTAACACGAAGGATATAATACAGTAATGTCACTTCCTGGTTCAACGATTGGTGCAGTACGGGTGCGGGCGACCGCGCCGCACGCAGCCGCACTGACATTGACTATCAAGTGCAAGGATGGACGACTCGTGATATTGCACCACGCTCAATTTTTATCTAGCAATTTTTTGCCGCGGCACCGGTATATGGTTTTGTTCATCTTGGACCACACTACCACTACCTACAAAATCAAGGAGTGGCCAGTGTTTTTGAGGTGACAGGAATTAACGGGAAAAATCGAGAGCATGAGGCATCTATAGCATTGAGTTTGGGCACTTAAATACTGTCGCTTTTTTTTCAACCGGAAATTTCGTTTCGCTCATAAATGTTTTGCTAGCAAGCTTGATATCATCTGATAGGAAACTTCACGCAGTTTTAGAATATCAAACGGCTTCGGTTGAGGGAATAATTTTTGTGGATTTTTTAGTCGTTGAAGTTGAAAGCGAAGTCGGCGAAAATTAGCACCTTCGACAAGTGCCTCTATTTACGTATAGTCGAAGTGCTAAAATCTCTTAAGCTGGCTCCATACATTGGAAAAGCTCGAGCTAGAATTCCCAGCAAGGGAATCTCAGCTAGGACGCTTTGGAACGAATTTCAAGAATTTTGGGAGTTACCAACCTTCACCTGCCGATATTCGGCAGCTCACGTCTGTTCCACCTGAAATTTTATTGCCAATATTTGAATGTTTTCGCTGATATGTTTTGCATGTTTCTGATAGCAAATTTCGTGCTCTAATAACACTGCTAAAAAAATCTGTTCTCCAGAGGTGTTTGCTTTCTATTAAGTTCAGATTATCAATACGGAACGCGAAGTCGTCGGAGAACTAGGCGTTCCCGTTCTCCACGAATTTTATGCTAACATTTGAATATTTCGCTAATGTGCTCTATATGTTCTGATAGCCGATTTCGTGCTCTATAACATGCTTTGCAGTTATTTGAAAATCCACTTGATGAACCATGTTTTTCAGGTGGATTATATGGAATGTCAGGTCGATAAGCATCAGCACTTCAGAGATTTCCGCCTTTTAGCATTCAACAGAGGTAATCAGAGCTGCTGATGCTGCTCGCAGAAAATTCGCCTAAGAGCTGTCCTAACACTAATCTGTTACTCTAAAGCTTTACTCGAACCATAGCGATTCAATTGAGCTGCTCTAGGAGCTTTGAAGCTTCAGCGGGACAGCGGTTGAGAGAGGAAGTCCGGGGAACTCTAATTCTCATCGACTTACGTTCCGTAAAGATAACCTGAACTTAACAGAAAGTGAACAGCTCCGGAGAACTGATTTTTATGTGATGTTATGAGAGCACGAAATTGGCTATCAGAACATATAGAACACATTAGCGAAACATTCAAATGTTAGCATAAAATTCATGGAGAACGGGAACGCTAGTTTCTCAACGACTTTCGCGTTCCGTAATGATAACCTGAACTTAACAGAAAGCAAACACCTCTGGAGAACAGACTTCCACAGCCATGTTATAGAGCACGAAATTTGCTATCAAACATGTAAAACATTATCAAGTGAAACGTTCAAATAGCATAAAAATTTTCGGTGGAACAGACGGTGACGGGTGCCCAACATCGGCGAGGTGAAGGTTGGTAACTTCAAAATTCTTGAAATTCGTTCCGAAGCGTCCTAGCGAGATTCCCTTCCTGGAACATCTAGCTTGACCTTTTCCAAATGTATGGATCAACTTAAGCGATTTTAGCACTTCGGCTATACGTAAATAAAGGCAGCTGTCGAAGGTGCTAATTTTCGCCGACTTCGCTTTCAATTTCAACGACTAAAAAATCCACAAAAAATTATTCCTTAAACCGAAGCCGTTTTGACATTCTAAAACTACGTGAAGTTTCCTATCAGACGATATCAAGCTTGCTAGCAAAACATTTCATCTTTGGAACGAAATTTCCGGTTGAAAAAAAACGAAAGTACTTATGTGCCAACCCAATATTTTGCGCAGGTCCATAATCAATGATGATTTTGATAAAGAACTTCCTGCACTGTAAGTTAATATTGTTGATATGTTCTGCACACTGGATTTTTGTTGATTTTTAGGTTGTCTCTTGTTGTGAGGACGTCTATGAATTGGCGTGAGCTGCTTTGAGGTGGGAGATTCGATCTCGCTACTGCACATCGCACCAAGCATCGGCCGAGCTCAATGAGAGCCGGCGGAACTCATGCACCATTGAGCTTCCTGACAAGTGAGAGTGGCACCCAATGGCAGAACGGGAGCGCTCCATGATCTCTGGCGATTTCAGCATCACTACGTGGATCTTCGGGGATGGGCTGATTGAGCAGGTCTTCCCTGAACTGGATAGGGTGTCTGATTTTGAAACTGAAATCTCTCAATGGTGAAGTCTAATCCTGAGTCCTTCTAAAAGAAATCGCTGCTCGGCCTTGAACTTCACAAACTCTTCTTTAGGCATTGTACACAGTCTGCGACCCTGACGAAACGGTGGTTGGGAGAAAAGCAAAAAGTAGACATCGATCGGAGAATCGCCGACCGCTAGTTTCGCCGAACCGCCGCGGTTCGGCGGTTGGGCGAAAAGCAATCGATACCTATCGATTTCGCTGGCGAAAAACGCCGGGGCGATCGAGCTAGCGTTTTGTCGAAGTCGAAAAAGGTCGCGGTTTGGCGAAGCGCTCGTCGATTCATGTCAAAATCCTTTCGCCCACCCACCAGACTTTTCGCCTAACCGCCAGTCGATACGTATCGAAAGCTTCTCGGCGAACCGCCGCGTTCCAGAGAAACGCTGGACCGTAAACTGTGAACAATGCCTTAGCATCCAGATTAGACGGAAAAAGAAGAGGGTGCTGAAAATGATCGTTTCTATCTTCTTGCCACTCCATTTCAAGAATCGCAAAAACCACCTTCGTAAAAGTTAAGCTCATTAGTGCGTAACGGATAACACACTCGCCCGGAAAGCGTGAGGTGCGGGTTCGACTCCCGCCTGGGGCACGACTTTTGCCTATAACTCAACATTCTTGTGATAACATCAAGTTCATTGTTCCACAGATCGTAAGGACAGCATCACGAGTATATCATAGGAGAGCGGACGAAAAGTGCTGATGTCACGAGGCACCTCTTCTTCACGTTCACTCCTCATGGATTCCTAGACCAAATTTCGTAGTGTGTAGCGTTGAACCAGAGGGCGTTTCTCCTATGATTAAGGCCATGATTCTTGGGCCTACTACGACTTAAGCTCGCCCTCCTCTTATGTTCGGGCAGACTTAACCTCACCCCCCCCCTCTTATGTTCGAGCAATAGTGGTAGAGGAAAGGGGTATGGCCGTGGTTACGCTCAACTATTACTTCTTGGCAGCTGCCTTACGCTTTGTCACAAAGAACGTGCGATGAAGAGAATTGCGCGTGGCGAGTGAATAGCATTGAAGGCACGTATAAAGTTGAAAATATTGCTCGGAGTGGCTAGTGTGGTCCACGACGAACAACCTTGTACCGGTTTCGCGGCAAGAAATTGCAAGGGAGAGGCGCTGTAGCGCAATACAGGTTCAGGGACGCCTCATTTTTTCCAGTGGCTCAGCCTCCAGATTCGCCCTCACGGGCCGCATTTCAGTGCTGCAGGACGAAAAAGCATGAAAATCGTCACTCATAGGGTTGTAGAGCTCCTATCGGGGAACCAGCTGGGCGGATGTGGGCGTAGTGTTGGAAATACAATTAACTGGGCACATACAAATGGGATCGAAATGGGGCTCTATCCAGGGTAGTTGGCAGTTTTTACCGTGTTTCTACACTTTCAAGCTACTCAGAGATAACTATAGCCAAACAAATGAAAAGCGGAATAGTGGCCAGGTTTTGCTCACATTTTAGAATTGTCGAAGCAAAACCAAGCTAACCTCAAGGTACTCTGGTTAGGCCAAACTCGTTTCTCAATGCACTTCGACATCGTCAGGAAAGCATTTGCCGCTTGAGCCCATCCCCTTCGTAGAACAATCTCAAATATTGCTCGACATAACCGACCAGCATTCTGCTGGACGTACAGAGACTCCGATGACAATGAGAAACTGCGGATGAACGTTCGTGAGATATGACTCTGAAACAGAGTAAGAAAAACGTATACAATTATGTCAAAAAAGTTCACGTGTGAAATCTGTTGGTATTGACTCTGGAAAGTGGATTCTACCAGAAATCTCAAGCTCTCGTGTTGAGCAACTGTGCAGCCTCTTCAAAAATTACAGGTGAGAAAAGAAATGAGCCGAAAGAAGCGACTGCATATGTAGCTTAGCTCCCGTAATATCTATAAGGACAACATCTGTCAGGACAGCATCCAGGGATTCATCTAGAAGGGAAGTCTTCGTGCCTTTTCAGAGTGAATGCTTGACTGCACAATGGTCTCATGAACGATTCAAGAAATTCTCCGAGGCTCTGGGCACAAAACAAACCTTGTAGCACACAGTGCTTCTAATTTACTTTAGTTGTGCTTTTCTGCAAAACATTAAAAGATGGTGAAGGCACGACAATTTGGTACTTGCTCTAAAATAGTAGCAGGGACGCTATATGGTGGGAAATGACGAAAAGCGAAGCAACTGGCAGAAACGTGCGAAAAAGGCGTCCTGCTCGGCATTAAGGACAATTTTTGGACGAGTTTTCCGTTGATATCGTGCCAACAACAGCTCTGGTAGGTACGGCTGCACGTATGTATCCATGTGTCAATATCAACGCTTCATATCAATTGTACTTAATGAATCGATATTAGAACGACCACCGATGTGGCATTCGGCCATTTGTGGGCGGGCAGGCTAGGTGAGCGTCCGTGTCAGCATGTTGCAGCTTGACAGACAGGGTACAGCATCGTGATGTGTGAGGTGGTGTGTAGGTCAACCGCCCCCCCCCTCCTCCCAGAGAGGGTGTCAGTACGACCCCCCCCCTTCCTAGCACCTACCCCCCAATTCCCCCACCACATTTTCCTAGTTTTTCACCCAAAAATTTTCCGTCGAGCGGGGGTTGGGTGGAGGGGAGTATATAAGGCACATGAAACAGGAAAAATCATGCAAAAAGTCAACAACCGGAAAAACCAACGCGACAAATTCCTCAAAAGGCACATACGTTCCCCTCTCCCTCCCAACGACTAAATAGAACTCCCCCAGAGAAAAAGTACGACCCCCTATGTGTTCCACACAACAATGCTGTACCCTGTTGACAGAACAGGGCGCCATAAGGGTACCTCCCTTAAGACGGTATCCGAAGCGCTGTGCTACCCTCGCGACTTGCAGTGTTGGCGGCCTTCACCACCAAGTGTTCCACCGGCTCCCCGCTCCTTTCCTTTTTCACCCTTTTTTATATATCTTAAATCTTATCGTGCTGTATACCGTGCCATTGTGTAATATAACTGTGTTGTGTTGGTTTGATTTACTAACTGATAATAAACCATAGTCATAATCAATTCCTAGGAAGAAGCGCAACGCAGCGCCTGTCCTACAGGGCAGCGCGCCAAATTCTCTCCTACTAAGCGTATTAATCCCACCTCTGGGGGTTTGTCGTGCCCCTTGCTTTTTGTTGGTAGCTGATGAAAGATAGCCGAGCACGCTTCCTGGCAGGTCCTGGGCATTTATTGTCTCTTCTGAGAACTATTACACATCTGCCTTCTTTCACAGACTGTGTCTTTACAGACTTCCCAATGTTCATTCACGGCAGTGTGCCTCCTACATTTACATGAGACTGGAGAATGGAAAGTAAGAAAACCTTTTAACAACTGAAGACCAATAGTATAGTGACACTGTGTTACCTGCAATAAAACGTTCACTTTCCCAGCAACGCTTGCCAAGCCTCCACCACGTAGCGGAAGCACGCAGCCACAACTGATCAACTCTTCAAGATCCAGACATTCTTCCTCTCGTATCTGAAGAAAGAAGCTCACAAAGTCATAGACCAGGTCTTAATTCGGTAATCTCGTCAAAAAAAAACATCAAAAAGCATCTCGGGTCAAGAATTTAAAGATATGGAATGAGACAGTTTCACCTTGAGTTGACTAAACTCCGTAGCCATTGATATCAATGCAAGTACCATATCATCTGGCATAAAAGCACTGAGCGATACAGGAAGGCCTGGAAGAAGATGCTCGTGGGCGAAAGACAACAAAAAAAATGCTGCTCAACTTACCCGTCTCATTCAGCATTTCTATTGTTTCGTATTTAATATAAAAATTGGAGGCGATTCTTCCGAGATCGGTGGCGTGCATGAAAGCGTTTCTGAAATAGTGACTCACACCTATCACTAGGGATGCAACAAAACCCTTATGTAAAAATTGAAGCTTCGAAACTCACACACTATCGAATCGGATCATTTGGTTCTGGTCTAATTTGACAGCAACGTCAGTGACCATTCGTGTCAGATGGTGCCGTAAATCGGGATCCTAAAATGGGGTATTCCACTTGAGAAACTCATCCTACTCTATATAATCCGCTAAGTCTGTCCGTGTGTGTATGTATGTTTGTGTGTGCGTCTGTCTGTGTGTCACGAAATTCATAGCGCCTGTCCCAGTAGCAGTGAGACAGCCGACGACGAGCGATGATTATACAGTCGGCGAAAAAGTTATCGAGCGGGGGGGGGTTATCCAATAACTATGCAACGTATATCCCACGGGCGTACAGAATGCATATAGTGGCTTATAAAACAAAAAATTAATACGACCCCACTTTTCCACAAGAAAAAAATCACCTATCAAAATGAATTTGTCTTACCCCACCCCAAATACGACCCCCCCTCTCCAGAGCAAAAGTACGACCCCCATGTACCCTGTCTGTGTGTTGTATGGCCGTTATGGCGCGGACCGCAAGCGTTTACTATGGAGCAGGATGCGCAGGGTTGCTCTATCTGTATGGTTGTACCAATACAGAGCTGTATGAGCAACGCAGTGATTGGAGAAGTTTCGTACCACATTATGGAGCGCGTCTGGCGAAGCCAGGCCAGCTCGGCGAAGCCGAGACTAGAGAGAAGAGGGAGAACTCGGCCGTCAGCCGGAGCGATCCGACTGGTTAGTATGAACGTAGAAACGTATAAGAGGATACAGTTATCAGGTTTCACTTTTAGCACAGAATTGTGAAAAGCATAATGTAGCTGTGTCAAGCTTAACTTGTCCAAGATCATGTGTGGAAGGCCATATGCAATTGGATTCTGCGTTGCTCTCGTGTAGTAGTATGTGTAAGTGAGCCATTCGACAGCTTCAGCCACATTTGATACAGTGCCTAAATGAGTACGATAAGTAACAAGTCTTACTCCTTATCGGTGGTGATGTCCGTTAATGCTACGGCGTCCGCGAAGCCGACACGCACTCGCAAGCTCCGGCGAGTGTAAAAAGTATGTTGTCGCTGATGCAAGAACGGCATAGGGGGGAGGGGCAATCAGGCTAGTCCGACAATGTTCAGAAAACCCGCGTCCCAAAGCTGAATGTTGGGACGACTGGACAGCCAAAATAGCGTCCCAGAGAGCGCTGGCTTGACACGCTGCACACAGATTTGAAAACAGCCGACATACACCCCAATCAGGCATTCAATCGAGAGAAGTGGCGTCATCTAGTAGGATACCGGACACCACTATAGAGTGGGAGAAACGCTGAAGAAGAAAAGGAAGGAGAAGAAGAAGTCGCATACTCATTCCTTCACCATTCACATCAATGCTCAACATTTTCTCTAATTATAATTCTCCTCACCACAATCATCACATCGGTATAGCGAAAGAATGAAAAATCGAACGTAATAGGCAGAGGGCGTTTGAGTAAATGGCAAGTGTACACATTCCATTTCATACAAGTAATTGCGGCTGGAGGGGGTTACGCTGACCTAGTGTTTCAATCAAAGTTAACAAAGTCCGGGGCAGCCGAGTGGATCGAACCAGGAAACAAAGTCATTGACAGTTTCATCCTCTTATCGTTTCCTTGAGGTGGTGAAGGCGAAAGGAGGAGGTGCGCTCCAATGACCTTATTTTGTGACCCTACCCAACTGGCGATCATGGAAGATTTCTTCAGATGATACGAGACCTGTGATCAGGACAGAACATGGCTGAATTATCGTACTGCTCCCTCCCCGAATAGGCATCCAGAGCCTCTATCAAACCGAGCAAGGGTCGAATGCACGGCGCATAATGGGGCTTGATGCAGCCAACCTTCCCTGACAATAAGTACTTCTGAAAAGCTATCGCACGACATATGCAGATAAATTTGACTGTCACCTAGAGATATCTCCGCATTCATATTGTCATGTATCCGTTTGAAAAACTGGCTTTCAATGGGTGCTTGACGGATAAGCATGCCAAGATATTTGTCCATTTTGTTTTGCGTTGTTATAATGATACCTAGAACAATTCTCCTTCGCAAGATGGACATGAAGTCAAGCAAAAAGGTAATATTTACCATGCCCTTCATTCTCAAATTGTGGACGACCGGCGCGTCCAAAAATCTGTTGGACGTCGAGCACTCCCAGATCACCGAATTGTCCCTTTTCAGCATCGAAAACGTCCGTTCCCTTAAAAGTTCAACAATCGAAAACCATCAGCAACTGCAATTAAGTCAAGGATGTTACACGAATAACGACAGCATGTGCGGGCAAATTCACTCCCCAGGCGAGGGTTGCAGTACAGAAGAGGACCTGCAAAGAAAAATCAAGAAAACTGCACATCAGACAGATAGGAACAACAGGGGAAAGGTAGAGTTTCACACCATTATATGCCCTTGCTGGAAGACTTTTTCCATCAAGAGGCGATCATGTCGCACAAGACCAGCGTGATGAACTCCGAAACCGAAGCGGAAGAACTCGAAGAGTTTATGATTTCTCGATGCTTGCACCTATAAGAAAACCCACATATCATCAGCAGTGACATGCTATAACCTATAGAAGGAACCTACCGATTTTTCTGAGGTAACATAGCTCTTTGTGCCAGCCGATGATGGAACAAACAGATCCAAATGTCCCTGAAATCAGTAATACTATCAAGAGACATTTTTACATACCAGTTCGATGGCTTTGGGCTCTTTTTTGGTAACACTTGAGTGAAATTTTTCCCAATTTTCCTCTTTACTGCTTATGCTGTTTTTATGGAACACAACTGCACTAAGGTAAATTGCTCCTGTACGCCACCAGAATGAAAAAAGAGGAAGGTCTCGCACTATCGTTCCTATCCTACGCAGTCGTGATCCGTATTATTACCATCACTAGCAGAGGGATTTCGTTAAATTGAGTTCCCAACTCTCATAGTGCCTTCACACCTTGCGTCAGCATTTGAGCGTATGGTAGTGTGTTTTAAGAAAGGATAGGAATCGACCTGGTTTTTGGTGGTTCACTCAGAACGCTAGATCGATGTTCATTTACCTGTATTCTGCTAGTCGCTCAAAACGCTGATACGAAGAATGAACGCGCTCGCACCAAGCAGGTGATACTGCAATCCGTTTTAATCTTCAGACTACATAGATTGTATTCAGTAACCATTGACTGCAGGTATGGTCCGACCCATCATGGGAATTGTCCAGGTGAGGTGGTTTCCATGACCAATGTGTTAGAGAAAAATGGTTTGAGTTACTCGTGATCGTAGTTAGATGCTGGAATACAGCCGACGAGAATTGAGCGATCCGGAGTAGAGAAACATCTTCTTACTTGCAAGTATCCAAGAAGAGTTGTTAAGTTTCCATGCAGACCGACATTCATGGCTAGGAGCGTTTCGACGACCATACTCACACTACCGAGGCAATTCTCTCGCAGTGGGAGACTTCATAATTCTCTTTCTGCAGCTTTTACAACCAGGCGAGGAAAGGAGTTGCCTTGTTTCCATCAGCCTGATGTCGAACGCGGTTCCTCTGGGTGTCGATTACTCTATATCAAACAGTGATCCTTCTATATTATAATCCGCTAACATTGTCCTGCTATGTGTGTGTGTGTGTGTGTGTGTGTGTGTGTATGTATGTGTGTGTACGCATGTTTGTGTGTCTTTAAGTGTGTTCGACGGAATTCATAACTTCCTTCAAAACAGGGACAGAGCGCTCAAATTGATAAGTGATTTGGGAGGTCGGGCAGGCACACTATTAGTTGGTGGCAGAAGTGATAACAGCTGATAAGATACCATAAGGGGCCTTAGAAAGGGAGGATCACCAACTTCATAACGTGCGTCACAGCGAGGCTAGAACGTTGGTTCCAAGAAGAGATATAGGAGGCAGGATGGGAACACTATTAGTGGTGGCAGGAAGTGATACAAGCTGATAAGATACCATAGAGGCCCTTCAGAGAGGAAGCCTCCAAATCAATGCACGAGTTGCAGCAACACTGGGGAATCGCTTCCAGTAAACAATTCAGAGGTGGTTAGGGAACATTGGTGGTGGGAGATAAGTTGTGATATAGTGTCCGAAAATCTCAGCATCTGTCGCATCTTTACTCCGCTTGATACTGAGTCACTCCACGAAAGTGCAACCTTGGCTGCCTAAGCCACAATGGAACTTGTTTGAGGCAGTGACAACGTCCGTCATTAAAATAACCAATGCAGAGAAACTGACCAGCTGGGCTGCTCTTTCTCGGAAAGCTTGCGCTAAAGATGCTGTTGCATTGCGAGCATGTACGAAAACCTGGAAGCAGTCACATCAGTTAAGGGTGTCAAGGCAGCCGACGGCGAAGAAAAGGTCATAGAACTGACCAGAACTTGAAGCCCTCTTTTGACGTAGCTGAGAACCTCATCATAACAAACTTCATTCATCGTTTCCTGGACTTCACGTACACCTCCGACTTTCTTAACTCCGATGAACCTGTCGAAATGTAAAATTTTCATGAAAGATGTACATTATAGTGTTTGAATACAATTTTAGCTCAATTCTATCTGAACTCGCTGTAGCCAGAGAATTACCACTGCTCTCAAAGAACTGCTTTGACAAGAAAAAAACAAAAATGCTCACTCTCCTAGCACGTAAGGCTTGAGAATCTTTTTGAGTACGAGTGTTCTAATTAGGGAAGGAGCAGGTCGAAGTGGCCATTTGTGATGAGATGAAGCTCACGGGACGTGGTTTTGGACGCTGATCTCAAATCTGCTTTCGAAATTTGCAGAACGATTCTCTGAACGGAGTTGTGGAGCTTCTTCCTCCGCGTTTACCACACGAGAAGTTATGGGATCGGATCACTGCTAAGCTTAACTTTTTTGCCTTTTGTACGTGGCATAAAGTGGTTGTGGCATCACTATTACATTAGTGCTCTCCTTGGCTTGCCTGAAAAAAAAGTTTGTGTTCGCTTATTGGCAGGCTTGGTGCCTTATGATCTAGGAGAATTTTTGGGTGTACAGGTGCTCTCAGCGCGCAGTGCAGGCGTTTTCGCGTTGAGCGAGTGCCATATTCGTATGTATGGGGCGAACTACGCCTAGGTAGAGGTTTCTAGCCGAATCTGGTATTTTGAATTGACTTCGATAGGGTGAAGCATCCATGGGTTAGTTCAGTTGATGTTCTACCTATTCAGCTGCGGATACATTCCCCTGCGCAGAGCCTCGTCTTGTCACATCTTACGCATTCATTTTGCTACTGCTCCAGTATCCCTTATATCCAAAAGCAAATTCCGTCCGAAGACGAGCAATCGGCAAGAGACTGGCCTTGGAACTATTGGGGACAGGGTACAGCATGGGGATGTGCGAAATGGCGGTGTGAGTACGACCCCCCCCCTCGAAGAGGGTGCAGATACGACCCGCCCTCTCCTGCTCTAACTGACAACCAAATGCATGTTCACCGCAAATGGTTTCCTGAAATGGAATCTGGATTTTCGAAAAGCGGACTCTGCTCTGAACTCCAGGCAATAAAAGGCTGCTTCAGCCTCATGCAATATGAGGCTGAAACAGCCTCGCATTATCTACAATTTTGCCTTAGGATTCAAAATAAAATTCCTCGTTCGATAACCATGTATGACATGCAACTTGTAACAAGGACCACAATCGGAACAGCGACTTATGGTGATCATTGATAAGCTGAATTGGTGGAAAAAGTAGCCCCAAGGTCAGAGTGTCAGGCCCCAGGTGTGCATTTAGAGAATGGTGACGGGGAAATCATGAAAACATGCACGACACAACAAAGCGAAACATGAAAAATACAAAAAAAATGCGGACCCAAATGAAAAAAGGAATACCATGCGGCAGTAAATCGTTCTATACTTGGTGATTATCGATCGCAAGGCTGCAACCGCTTTCATTGGAACAACGTCACTGGAGTGCGGTTGTTGGACCTGCTAACATCATGGGTTTCTTTTGGGGTTTTTATCTCTTTGAGGGGTGCGGCTTTTGATGAATGGTTAGCAGCATGCAACGGGAATGTGCCTGCTGTTGCGTTTTCTACCCAATTGCAATCTGAATGTTTCCCCATTCATGAAATATTTTGGATGGGTTTCGGGTCGGCTAGGGGTAAAGGGCAAGCGGGTTTTTATGCTTCACACGAGGGTTACTTAATTCGAACGCAATTTCATCAGGATTGAAATCGTCTTGAAACCGCCCTATCTTTTCTCTTTCCAATAAGCCTTACAGTTTTTCTGAAGACCCACTAGTTCAGGAGATAATCTAGATGGGTCACAGACGCGCTACCCTCTAACCCACCCAAAAAATCGACTACTTCTGTGCAATTGTGAGGATACATCTTCGAAATTTCAGAGTGCCTCCAAAACACATATTTCCCTTCAAATGAATGAAAGAGGAGCTCGGCCATCACTGATCGATTTGGTCCGAGTGTGCGCCGTGCATTACGCTCCTACGCGGAGGTGGTGGAAATGTGTAAATTCTGATTTCAGGTGCTTTCACCTATGCAAGCAGATGTTTGTTTGGGGTTTGGAAAGGACAATACGCATAAATCTGTTTGAGACGTACTATTTAATCATCACCTACGTACTTACGAGCTCATGCTATTAATTGATTTTTATTATTTATTTATTCTTGCTATACTGCTAACCAATTTTTTATTTTTTTTTCTGAAGTCCTCCTTACATCCCGGGTCTTCTGCAGCTTTCCGTCCGTTCCATCAAACCTAGCAATGATACTTTTGTACTGTTTGATGCCTAGCGAGCCTACTTTTGCTATACAGCGGCCAAGTACGAACCCATTTTTGGGATTTCGCATGGAGGGCTGGTAAACGTAGCAGTCTGTAAAAAATACACTCACAATAATTTTCATTTTTTCTGACATCTTGACTTCCATAGCTCACGCCCACTATCAACTGAAATGTCGAGGCGTTGCCAGCTCTGAGTGACCCTTGAGATTACGACTCCCCCCCCCCTCCACAGCGGCCAAGTACGACCCCCCCCCCTATGGGTTTCGCACAACGATGCTGTACCCATGGATTGGGGGGACAATCATTCGAACAACTGCTACCGCACTTTTCGAAGTTAGATAGAAACTTCACATCTGGCTAGAAACCTGTCCTCAAGGGTAGTTTTGCTCCCTGAACACGAATATGACACCCATTTGGCGTTTGAGTATTTTCTAGACTCAAAAGAGACATTCCTCACGGAATGCTAAAAAAGTTCCCTCTTAAAAATGCGAACCTTCCATGTCACGCTCACGAAGCAATAACACTACCACTTCACCATGCTCCCATTAGCTCCTATGTTAGCCCTTCGCGGCTATTCACGCAAACTTGCTGGCAACCGCGCGACTCCGTGTCCCTTCATTTTAATTCTAACAAACCTTCATAATTTCTCCCATAGAATCGTTCGGCAAATTTCGAAGGCGGGTTTGAAATAAGTGTTCAAAACACGTCCCGTGATATACACTGCGAAGCAAAATGATAGTTGCACCAATAAATCTAACGAAAACTCGTCTTATGTGACGTATTAGAAAATGCCGCCTAGGAAATGTGGCAATTACCATGATCATCTTGCATGCCAACAGCGAAAACTAGCTTTCCCGAGCAACTTTTTTTTCTTCGTTTTTTGGAAATTTGTCTTTCTGACAACGACGCAAAAATATAGTTCCACCTCCTATTTTTCCAATGCGTCTCACGTCTCATTTTTTTCGGGTAAATCTGTCTCATCACCGTTACATTTCATCTGTTCTAGATCATGGCAAGAGGACATTCACTGTCGGACTTCGAGAAAGGGCAGATTATGGCAAAGAAGACACAAGAACTGTCGAACCGTCAAATCGCACGGGATTTGGGACGCAGTCATCATGTCATCAACAATTTTATCAGGGAACCAGCAGGATATGGAACCAAGAAGAGCCCTGGGCGTCCTCTCTTGCTCTCAGATCGGGATAAGCGCCGTATCCTCAGAGAAGCATCCAAAACCACAATGTCATGCCAGGAAATCAGGTCATCTCTGAAGCTTAATGTCTCGAGGGATACTGTTCGCCGTGTCTTAACGAGGTCGGGATACATTTTCAGAAGGAAAATGAGGAAGGCGCCGTTCCTGACGGAAATTCATCGTGAGAACCGAATTGACTTCGCTAGAAGATGTTGCCGAACCGATTAGGTTAGCTTCCAGCTGCGCTGCCCTTCTGCTTGTTTGTCTTGTCTTTTCAGGTTTTTTTTCTCTAGGTCGTGTTCTTTGATGAGAAAAAGTTCAACTGCGACGGCCCAGATGGAAACCGATTCTACTGGCACGACTCGAGGAAGGACCAGCTTAATTTTTCCACGAGGAACTTCAGAGGAAACGGCGTCATGGTATGGGATGCCATCGCATCAACGGGACGTGTGAAGCTATGCTTCGTATCTAAGAAAATGAACTCTTCTGATTTTATTAACGTCACGCGACCAGGATTGCTTCCATTCTGGCATAGGAATCGGCAAGAAAACCCTGTTTTCATGCAAGACAATGCACCAGTTCACGTCAGCCGAAGCCTCGAGAGTGGTTCAGGCGCCACCAAATCGCTCTTTTGCCCTGGCCAGCGAACAGCCCCGACCTGAACCCAGTCGAGAATGTGTGGGGCTTTATGGTGCGCAGAATCTATGCGAACAATGCACGGTTCCAAAATATCCGTGAGCTCAAAGAGGCAATAATGCATGGCACCAAGTGGACAGACGACTTATTGACACGCTCTATTAGAGCATGGACAAGGGAATTTTCCAACTTATTCGAAGAAATGGGGCTGCTATAGATTACTGATTTAACAATTTATTCATTTTGTTGTTAACTTGTTGTTGGATCAATCGATTCGTTTGGTGGAACTATGATTTTGCGTCGTTGTCAAAGTGACCATTTTTCAAAAAAAAAACAAGAGAAAAAGAATGTCCCTTCAATTCAGTATTTGATGTTGGCGTACGAACGGGCATTGATAATTGCCATGTTTTCAATTTTACAGCATCTTTGGGAACGTCGCATAAGACGGGATTTCGTGAGGTTCTCGGGTGGAACTATGATTATGCTTAGCAGTGTGCGTCTCTTTACAAATGGCCACTTCGACCTAGCAACCATCCCTAGTAAGTAAAAAGGTGCATGCGCGAGTTCAAGAACTTACTTCTAAACTTACTTCTGCGTAAGAGGAACAGGTCGAAAGCGTCCATCAAAGTAGAAAAGTCCTTTGTAGGGATTAACTCGTAAAAATCTTGCAACATCTACATAGTTTGGCAACGTCGCCGACAAGCCAACGATACGAATTCCCGTTTGAGAAATTTCCACCTGAGGGATGCTAAGAAATACGGTACGTTGACATTTAACATAGGAACTTATAAACCTGTCGTAGGGTTCGAGCAACAATAGTTTCGATAACTGGGCCTCGATCGTCGTGCAGCAAATGAACCTGTAATTGCGCTGTAATCAGTCATGCCTATATCAGTGGAAATCGCAACTATGAAAGATTTCTCGATGGATTTACAGACTTCATCAATGATTAACAGCCTGACAAGTGATGTCAAGGAGTTGTCGCTGGCGCCTTTCCTTGTAACAACATCCCACTTCTCAGGTGTCAACACCAGCATCTGAATGAAGCACTTAATTTAATAAGTCACTAAAGAATATGAAGCGTTGTTCTGGAAAAGTGTTACGAGTGCTAAGAGCGGGGCAATCAGCAAAGATGCAACCCTTCAGCCTGGGCAGCGTTCAGACTTGTCGCGCTTCAACGCGCGTCGATTGTCGCGCTCCAGCGCGCGCTGCTGCCCTTAAACATGCTACAATAACACTCCAATTGTACCAGAGCCCAGCTTCCATTTATTTCTTTCTTCCGGTATTCGACCCGCTTTTCACTATTTCCCAATTCTACCTGTGTCTTAGCTCCTCTTTTTCGCTTAAACATCGAATTTCAATGCAGTTTCTGATACACGATACAGATAGTGATTTTGTATACCGTTTCAAAAAAAAACTCGTCGTCAACAACGTCGAAAACTCGAAAATTCCAAAACGTCGCCAAATACGTCAAAAACTACATTAAAATTCGATGTCAAAGTAAAAAAGAGGAGTAAGAATGGTGGAAATGAGAAACAGTGAAAAAGGGATTGAATACCGGAAGAAAGACATAAAGGGAAGCTGGGGTCTGGTACAATTGCAGCGTAATTGTAGCGTGTTCAAGGGCTGCAGCGCGCGTTAAAACGCGACAGGTCTGAACGCTGCCTTGTAATTAAACATTATTCTAACACTGAGCAATATAGAGCAGTATTACTGACTGAGCGATCACTATTCCCTGTGATGATTACTCTTGAAATTCATCTACCGCTCGACTTCTATTGATACGTATCACACGTTCTACTACGAATCCAAGTAGTGCAAGAACATCCTGGATTTTTCACCTCTCCAGGCCGCTTGATTGGCAGCATATTCGGATGAATACACCTGCTGGTTCCGGGCAACGGTCAGGACTCCACGAGAGGTCAGCCTGCCGCCGCAACGCGGCGGGGAGAGGCGGGCCCCGCGATGTTTGCGCTATGCGCGCGGCGTTTGCATAGTCCATTTGATTTCCTGCTTTATTAACTGCAGGTGTGAAAACTATGAAAGGAATGCGCCCGATGTTCACTTATTAGTGTAAAACAACGTCCATTCACATAGAAATAATATTTAGAGAATACATCAGCAATCTACAAAAATTCACTTTGGTGGATTCTTCTTTTGCACTCAATTGTAGAGTATTGTAAGGGCCTAAGATTTGCGGCCAGACGAGGAAAGTAGGTAGTATCAAAGAAAAACAGCAATCCGTCAAATAAATAGGGCTGCCATTCCTATTGAAAATTCTGGTTTGGCAAAATCCAAGCAGATTTGCGTGATGCCAGAACTATTATATATAAAGGGACCGGGATCTTAACCGCACGACTGTATGGGTCTCGTCCAATCACAGCAGCAATCACCGCACGCGGCGAGGCGAAACATGGCGACTGTGACCTATCGTGGGGTCCTAACCTACACCCGCTGGTCCCACTTATTCCATTAGCCATCCTAGAGGATAAATATGACAAAATGCAGAAACTACGATTTAGAACAGAAGTTGAGTGAGAGGAGCATCTCCAAGCGGGACTAAGCAAGGGTTTTAGGGCTCAGCCTTTAGGAACGTTCCAGTATACCTGTGTCTCGGAAATTTCCTTCTTGGAAAGAGTCGTATCTCCAGTCAATTCCCGCACTTGTAAACCTAACGGAGCCAGCCTTTTGCCGAAACTTGTTGTCATCTCCGTGGCTAGAGCCTTCATTGGGGCGATGTAGATGATCTGAAATTTGACAAAATATGACTGCGGTTACGAGCCGTACTTATAAATCATTGTGCCACGTTTATACAATTAATATTGTAAACGGAACTAATTCAGATGACAAAAGACGGGGATGTTCTTTCGGATGAGGTCAACGGAGATCGCTTGGTACAAAAAGTACTTCCTGTTGCCACCGTTCCACGCTTTTATGTTCCACACTTCTATGTTGTTAACCCCTTGTTAATGGTGTTGTAGAGCTCTCTGCGGATGGCATTTTTTTCCATATTGTTTCATTTGTCTTATCAACACTGTACGCCATACGGTGCCGGCTGGTTTATAGGGGTGTTCGCCACGACTCCGTCCCACATATGATTTCTTTTTTTCCCTGTGCCTGTGCTCGATTTTTTTTCCATAACATGCAAGCCTTTTTGTTTCTTTCTATTACCGCTTCTATCAACTATGTCAGTTCCACGAGGGACGTTGGTATATCCGTGTGCCGAAGTGCTGGCATGATCCCAATGACTTGAGCTGGAACGAGGGCGCCACAGCCGACTGGTGCGGATCGTAGCTTAAGTCCTTAGAAGTTACGCTTGCATGTGCTGCTACGTTGCAACATAAGCTACGGTCAAGGATGTCCACATTTACTCGACCCTATTTCAATTAACTCTTTGCTCCCTATGAGAATGGCCTATATCATTTCGGCTTTTAGCTATTTGACTATTAGTTTTTTTCTGGCACACTCATATAGTTTATGTTAAACAAATAAATAAATAATAAATTTCCATAAGCTACTCCAGAGACTGCATCCGTGTTTGAGTGCCATAAACAGGGACAAGTACAAGTTGAAGAGCTCCAGCTTGAGCTCTGGAAAATTTTCAGTGGTTCAGTAACAATTATAATAACGGGAAAGTTGAGCGAAACCTTGAAGTCGATCCTTGCAATGTCACCATTTCAGCATTCGATGCTCGTGGATAGTGTTCAACACGCACAGCATCGCGATGTTCGTTTTACCTAAACAAAGGAAAAGTGAAAACTGCTCAGCACGTTCTTTATTGCCATTCCACACCAAACGATGCGCTCAGTAAAAAACGTCGCATGCAAGAGCAGTAAGGGATCGAGCACTTTTATCGCCAATAAATCTCTAGTGTTCTTATCTTATTTCACGCAACTCTCGCTTTGAAAAGCAACAATGTAGATTAGCGCGTGATGACTTACGATGATACATTTTTCAGAAGCGCTGAACCGAGCAGCATGACTGTAATGCTGGTCCAACAGGGACATCGTTGTTGGGGAATCCCCAATAGAGGGTCGCATTTGGTCGTCAGGAGGGGGGTAGGGGGGTCGTATTTGGGCTGAGAAAAAGCTATTTTGATAATTGATTTCTCGCTCATGGACGTTGTAAAGGGAAGGGGGGGTCCCAAGCACATGAAATATGAACTCGCATAACATTCACATACTTGTTGAATATTAGTGGTCTTGGAAAGGCGGACAAGTCAGTAAGCCTCCATAACTCTGATACGCAGAATCGTTTAGCAGATTTGAATAAGAGTACAGACGCGTCAATCGATATACATCTCGTTTCAAATGACCACTTCGACCAATCATGCTTTCCTGGTTAGTATCATGCCTTCGCCTCTCGCGGTATGCAGTGTAACTCAGATAATTCGACAGCTCCACTCTGGTAGTGAACGCCCACTTTTTTTTGAATTCAGGAGTATTGCAACATATGCTGCGGGTCCGCCTCTGCTCCCTGATTGGCCGATCTGATTTGGGGAGGATAGTGAGCGTACTGATGAAAGCTGCTGCCACGCTAGCCGTCGGCTCTCTCTCTTCCTGTAACTGCTGCGACCTCCTGACAGCAGGATATACTGCCATGCTCGGACCACTAGGCGAGAAGGTCCGAGCATGGCAGGAGGATCCCTCTTACTGGCTAGCCACGCCCTCCTGCTGCAAAGCTGCGACGGGCACTACTGACAGGTGCTGCCCAGTGACGAGCTTTGTACTGGAGTCCCGTTGCGCTTCAAAGGACTGTGGCGTTGGTCCTATCGCGATTGGGCAAATTGGCGGGAAAATTTACATGGCTATGACGTCACAGAGGGCGCAACTACTGCTAAGCTGCTGCCTGCCTGCGCTACCACTGTGTGCTGTCGTCCGGAAACCTGCCATGCTACGCCCAGCACTACTACTGCTAGATGTGGCTGTACCAGAGCAGGGGTCCCGATGCGATATTGCTACGGTACCCACTGTTTTGAAATACCACGCGATGCCCGCGAAATCGATTGCAGTCACACTTCAATTGTCATAATTCGCCCTGTTCACCCCTCCGCTTCGTTCTTTTTTGTTTTTTTGTGTTTTTTTGTCGTCGTTTTCGTATTCTATTACTCGCGATGCCTTTTTACTGTCCGAGTAAGGAGTAGTTGCTCAGGTTAGTTAGTTTCACTTAGTTTTTTGGGTAGTTTAGCAAGAGATAGTTTGAGAGAGAGCATTTGATGTTGATCGGGCTGTTGCCAACCAGACGTGCTCTCGCTTTGAGGGTGCAGGGGTATTTTCTCGGGGAACCTAGTAGCCCAGTAGTTGAAGGGAGAAGGTAAAGGAAGAGGGAGCAGAGGAAGGAAGGAAAGGAAGTAAGGTAAAGGAAGAGGGAGCAGAGGAAGGAAGGAAAGGAAGTAAGGAGGAAGAAAAAAGGAAAGAGAAGAGAGGCTTCGCGGTTGTCAAGTGCTCTGAGACGGTTGATCAGTCCTCGTGTGTTTAGAGTGGAGAGAGGAGATGGTACGAGATGAGGATTACAGTTGAGCGGGTCTAGTTCTTTTGGAAGTAGGGATTTTGATCACATGAAGCTGAAAGGGGGTTTTGAAGAACTGAGGTTGGATAGAAGTATTTTTTTTGTTTTGTTGCATGCATTAATGATATAATGATCAATGCATTCAATTTAATAATCATTTCGTGTAGTAATACTATATTTGATATCTCTGCATCAATCTTAGTGCTATTTAACCCCGTGGTTGGACGTCGACTGCGCATCTGAGATCGACTCGCCATAGTCACCACACGAGGAGGAGGAATTCGTCTTAGTCTTCGTCGTGGGGGGCTCTGATTTCTACCGTGGGGGGGGGGGAATTTCTCCAAGTGGAAAGTGGCGTACTTCGGCAGCACTGCTGCGCCTGTCCCTTGTTCCTCATGAGATGTGATGAGAAGTATACCTCGTATAACTGGTTTCTGGTTTCCTCTTATCATACGGTTTCTCATCACCCTGCCCTGGACTATTCGAAGACAGAGTGATGAGGAGTCCTTCCCAAAAAGGCATCGCAGAAACACGTAGCACTATTCTACTAATTAGTCATGTGAATTGATGTTCATTATCGAACGTCTTTCTATACTTATATATGTGCGTGTGTTTCAACATACATGTTTACCAATTTTCCGTATTCGCTTAAGACTGGAAGAGTCGGTTTGTGCAGATTTCTATTATTGAGCTTCTTTCGTGAGTTTTGTACGTAGACCCTTGTGATTAGGAAAAAGTTCCTCCTGAGGAAGGCACTGTTGCTGATGTGTCAACTCCTTCTTGTACGTATCGCGACCTTCATATTCTCACCTAGTGAATGTAATCTCTCGGGTACTATGGTTTGACCTCGATGTATGTATAAGCTTACGAGTACTCTGCTGTTGCTTTACCCCAAAGGCATGTTGAAGAATTGAAGGAGAGTGTTTCGAGTTTGCTCCGCTTCTGTGTGAAGGTACCTGCCTTGCATATACATCTGCCGCTTTCTAGCTACCATGAAAAAGTGTTCAGTGATACAGCTTTAGGCGTGAAATGAGTCAATCCCCTGAATACATTCCAAACAGTGATGCGCTGCATATAGCCGAGCCGGAGCTCACATCTGCCGAATGTGTTTCAAAAGGATGTGGTGGGAGGAGCTGCAAATTTGCAAAAAGATGTCATCTTGACGTTAAACTCTTATACTCCAGATACAGCTGAACTCCAGAAACTCCGCGATGATCAGTGCAGCTCAAGGTCTCTGACCAATACTATTTCGATCAGTTCGCTCAGAGAATGTACAGTGACCCCTCCATCGCTGGTTCCTTCCGGGTTTATCTCAGCACTCAAGCGGATCCCAGGAGCTCTTCAATACACAGGCCGGAGAACCGATGGCACCGCAAGGTCTAGGGTTCATCGCAACTTTTACACATGAACCTGCCGATCCACAGTTCGTATTGCAGAAAACGAAGTTTTGGCTACGGCAATAGAAGACCCCCTCAATAATCAAAGTACGTCTGGAAGTCGAATACCACGTCGTCCGCGATCGTTTCAAGGTTCTCAAGCTCTTCATCATTGTCTGCAAAAACGTTTTAGAGTTTCTGCATTGACATTTCTCGTGCGTTGAGGAGAAATCTCGGTGGAGCAGTTGGGCGAAGCTATGTCACACTTTGACATTGGCGACGAGTATGACGTCTGTTTCCTTTGTACTTACGGGGACCGCTTAGGAGTACATAAAGACGTACTTCAGAATTTTCTTAAACGTAAAGTGAGAGAGAGAGCCGTGTCAGCGTGGAAGAGGCTAAACTGCTGCAAGTGGACGTGGGAGAATTGCCACAGTCTTCGGATTCCGTCGTTCGCTCTCTGATGGCAGTGACTGCAAGGCAATCAGACGCAATAGTTGGGATGACAGTACTAGTCGGTTATCTTGAAACCTTAGAAATTTAGCACCTTAGAAAATCATCCTCTGGCTTAAATTTGCAGATTGACTCGCCAATGTTGTACACAAAACATTTGCACAGTGAATGTTGCCGCTTAGCGGATGCGGCGTCAAGGCATAGCGACCAAAACTGCCGGACGGAACTTTTGCTGCCCTCGGGAACTGACTAGACAGTGGAACGTTGAAGAGTCGGGTACCATTTAAGGTTACAGAATCTGGATGGTCACATTAAGGTATTGTAGGTGTGAATTGAAGAATAATAGTGTTCTTTTCATGCTACAAATCTGAATTGCCTGCTAGAACACTGAAAACGTACTCTACAATTGCGCCCAGAAGATCACACGACTCAGTGTACCGACTTTTTTAGGCAGTTGACTCAGATAAGTTATTAGGCTAGTGAATACCTCCATCGTCACAATCTTAGTGCTCAGCTAACTTTAGGCGTGCGATCCTGCCCACGTCATTCAAGGGTACACGTACCGGTTGTCAGGTAGATACCAAAGAAAGCCTGATTTGAAGGACCTTCCGACTGGTATTGCGGAACCACTGATACGTCAGGTACAGTAGATCAACTCATCGGTCACACTCCGTAAAAGGTCCAAATTTACTTATCAGGGTGCTGTCTTGATGGCTTAAAATTGGACGCCCCGGAGCTGGATGCCACTCCGGAAGAATTCATTGAAAATCCCACTCGGTGAGACAGACTAGTTGCTAGTGAGTGCGTCTTTAATTCAGTTTTTTAGTTACTGGCTCGATCCTGATGCGGCAAGAGCTAGAGCGCTCAGGAAGCGCAAGAATCTGCGCATGACTTGGGAAACACTTTTGCGAGGGGCCCTCGCGCGAGCAATGTAGGTATACGGAACGTTGGGCAATTTTATGATGGAAACAATTTATTCACTGTTTAGGGCGGACATCAGACAATATGTGTTAAAAATCGACCACCTCGTGCCCCGCCCTGTAAGTGAACTTCAAATTTTTCTAAGCTCATACAACAAAGTACACGCACCGTTCTAGAAGAAGCGACATCATGATAACTCTCAACTCGAGCGCACTGGAATCGCCGCTGACTGAGTGTTGGGCCTAGAAAGCCAATCAGTCAACCACGTAACTCGCGAACTCGCTGGTCCGCCTTCGAACTGCTTCTCTGTCATCTATTATTCTCCGCGTGGGTGAACTCGTCGTCTGCCTCGATAGGGCCCTCAAAACCGCACGTTTCGCTTCTCAGCACTCCGCCTTGGTTCCTTCATGCGCTCCGTTCCTTGTCGTTCCTTTCTTGTCTACAACGGAAGAATGCACTGCAGCACTGTCCCGAGTGAGCTAAGTCGTGGTGATCCTGGAGTCTTGCAGCAGCAGTTCGACAGCAAAGGTCACTCACGGCGTGGGAGGATTGTGTAAAGTAGTGAGAAAAAACGGACCATGCGATAGTGTTGTAGCTACTGTACTCATGTAGCGCCTTGACCGTTGCTAACACATGTATTAACTCGATCTCTATAACAGATGAAGTATTGTATCACTATAATGTGCAGTAGGTCATTGAAATGTTGTCATGTTTTTTTTGCCCGATATGGGTCAAAAGTTTGCTCTGGACACTCTGCCAGGAGGGACACCTTTTCCCATAAGCATTTCTTCACAATCCATCACCTCACTTGTCACTTCCTCCGCCTAGGCTAGCTCCAATCAGCTCTTCTCTAAGTTCCCGACCCCTCGGAAACTTACGTGCGCAAATTTCCAACGGAAACAGAAATTTTGGTCCTATTCGCACTAACCCGCTCACGATCCCTGAATTTCGAGGCAAAACGACCTTACCATTGTTCAGCACCCTTGAAAACCCCTGTGGGCGAGGGGGCGTTTCCCAAGTCAAAACTGGTTCCCCCACCCTGAATAGGCGGATTTTGAAGCTTTCACGCAAAACCGACCTCACCACTGTGATCAGCACTCTTGAAAACCCCGATAGGCGAGTTTCCAGTAAAAACTAAAATTTTGACCCAAATCGGGTCTGATCAGATGCTCGAAAAATTGTTCTCATTGATGTCATAAGGATAAATGTGCTATAAATAGCAGTAGTTGTCCGTAGTACTGCATCGTTATTCACGTGGGCAGTTGCGTGTCCACGTGAACAGCGATCGATTCATAGCCGACAGGATGCAGCAGTACCGCTCGCAGGATACGGCAGGAGTTTTTGGCAGCGGTACTACTGCAGCCCGCAAGATGCAACAGTGCCGTTCGCAGGAGTAGGGTCAGTAGTGCTGCGGCCAGCATCTAGGCAGGCTCTGCCTCGCAGTATGTGCTGCGAGCATGGCAGCATATCGGGGGGGGGGGAGGCGGTTCCGCCCACAATATCAGCTCTAGGCTCGTAGACCGGAGCCGAAACCTTCCATGCTACGAGAGTGAAGCTGTCGCGTTATGTGAGTAAGGATGAAAACCGCAACCAGAGCAACGTACCAGCTCCAGTTGGTGCACAAATTAGGAGGTTCTCTTTAGTTTTATAAGCTTGCTCGAATACGATCGACTGAATCACATTGAGCTTCTCGAACCCTTGGAAACCGAGCTGACCCAGCTGAAACGAAAACCAATCACATCTCGTGCGGAACTACGACCAACAAGCAAAACTAACGTCGTCCATATCTTTGACGAAGACGCTATGAATATCTCCTATGGAACTCTTGTTCATAGGCGGCACTTCGACCTCTTCATGTGTGCGGAAGCTTCCTCTGATGGAGCCTTCCGGTAGAGCGTACTGCAAAATACGCAATGACATAGCTTGTTTGTCGAGTGAAAAAAGTGATCGAGGGTTACCTTCATTCCATTAATAGTTATCATTGCTGATCCACTGTCAACACAGGCATCAAAGACAAATGGATAGATTTCTCGTGGTCGATTTGAACTTTTCATTGTAGGTGTCCACTTCAGCTGGTCCATCTCGATTTGGCTAAATAGCATACAATAAGAGAGTTCGAGAAATCCTACAACACCTTTAAAAATCTTTCTGTATTTTACATTCCGCTAATCATGTCTTTCATGTGTGTATTCTTATACTCTTCCCGCTTTAAGGAATATGGTGCAAAAATAAATTGGTATTAAGTAACGCTTAGTTTTTTGCAGGACATAACCATGTGAGCCACCTACAATGCCCTGGAAAAGTCTCGTGAAGATCGGCCGCAGTCGGCAATGTCAACAAGGCAGACATACGTAAGGAATAAAAGCGAATGATCTAAACTTTATGTCGCCTTTCAAATACTGCTGGGCTTGTCTACTACTTCGTCATTTCGCCATAGATTTAGCCCTCGCGTAAGCAAATAGCTCCAAGAATCAAGAAGAGACCTTCAGGACAATTGTCGACACAGTGGTTCAGCCGGTTTGGCGAAATACGTTCAATGCGATATTAGATGAAAGGCTTCAGTGAGTTGACGACTGTGAATCCTCCTATCCACCTATGAACGACCCGGTAGTTGATGACGATCACCTTAATCCCAGAAACTTCCCAAGTTGACCCGCATCCTATTTGCTTTCCTCAGTGCGATCTTGAAATACGCTGAAGATCACAGCCGTGCTATAAAATGTCAATAAATGAAATTACACTACACGAAGGGGTTATCGGTTTTGAGGTGCACCATTTGTATCTGAGCTCGATCTGAGCTATCTAGAGCTCCATCCTAAACTCGTAACAATCTGTTGTTATACGAACTCCTCTAAAAAGACAGCACCCTCAACCCTACCATAAATAGACGAGTCAATGGTGAACTAAAGACCAAAACTTGGAAATATATCAAATTTATAAGGTACCAGTACGAGTCAGGTTGGCAGCAAAGGAAAATGATCTACCGCATTCGCAGAATCTCTCGCTGGGCAAGCTCAAGCTCCAACTTCTCCTCGTCACCGAATGCATGATGAATACTGAAAACGACTCATTTGAACAGAGTCGTAAAGGCATAGAACTTAGGCAAAATGATTTCTAAAACTAGGGAAAGCTTGAAAACATTGAAAGAAACGAACCGATTCAATTCCTTTTTGGCTCTTTTTTGTTCCTTACGAATTTCTCGACGCATATCTGCTTCAGCTTTTGTCTGCACGAGCACCTGCTGACAGTTACAAGGGCCCATCATTGCGAAGAGGAACAAGCTGTAAAATACCGAAGTAAGCAATTTCGAAGAGGAGTTATAAAGCATGCTGTCATAATAGAAAGATAAGTTCAGCAGGCGTCTGAGAGAAAGGATTGTCGCAGGTATGCACGATGGAAATGTGTGACTTCACAAAAAGGGCATCAACGGTCTGGTGGGAAGGCAGGGGTATGTGACAAGAGAATCGTAATTCACCGCGCTGGGGGGTCGCTTGCGACGTCGCGCCAGCAAATGACGATAGTTCCAGGTGGTAGGTGGCGACAATAGGCAATTCAGAACTTAAAATAGTCATGTCTACGATGACGGGGTCTACATGAAGTCCGGTGCTCCAATGGACAGGTCAACACGAGTTAAGGAAACTCTGCACCCATCGCCGCGGGCGGCAGAGCGGCAAATTACGATTCTCTTGCCCGTCTCCCGGAAGGCACAGAGGAGGTAGTCGCGCCGACTCCCTACACTACCCTTCCCAAAGTATTGTAGTACCCAATCAAGTTCCCGACTATATGCGTCGTTGTTGTAGCTGTTTCTATTATCAGTTGAACTGCCCATGGCAACAGGCTTGATTCAGTAGTCCACGATCTCATTTTCAGACCGACTTCTGATGGCCTCGTTTTCATCGAACTGCTTTGACATTTTTTCGACGCCCTCCTGCTCCTTTCCTCGTGCAACTTCAGGGCATGGATTTGATGTTATTTTTTCGGTGCCAACGTGCTTAATGAAAGCTCCACCACACAACCTCGTTGGTACAGGTGAAATATCTTTTTTGACATTTCGGCCTAACCATAAGAGTTTGGAAAATTCTTTCGCCGCAGATCTGAATTAGCATCGGCCACACACGGAAGAGCAGCAATAAGAGGACTTATGGCGAAGGTGACCTGTAGATCTTCCAGCGTTTTACACATGGTGAGTTCTTCATGGCAGATGATGGTATACAGGGGGGGGGGGCAAAAAAAGTCACTTTGCCTCATTGACTTTCGAGGCGCTAGAAGTTACACTTTATCCAATTCTGATCGGACATTTTTACTACCATATTGATGAGCATATTAAGTACTATCACGACACTCCGCCACAGCCTTCTGGACGAACGCCATCGAGAGATTCTGGCACGCGACCGCGATGTGGTCCCTGAGATCAGCGGGGTAGTCGATTTCTCCGCCACCGTAGACCACCCTATTGCACTCCGCCCGAACTAGGTAATTGAGTGGGTTCAGGTCAGGGGACATACTTCAATATTACATCTCTTCAGGTACGAAATGCCCTTCCATTCGAAGTAGGCGGGAGTTTTCCCAAAACCCTTCGATTCCATGTGGTGGCACCCAAACCTGTAGCCGCACAAGGTCTCCAAGAAGGTACGGGCGACCACATGTAGGGAGGATATTCTTCTCGAGTTACTTGATATAACCGAAAGCGCTCACCCTCAGTCGGGGTCTACAAAGAAAATGTCGGTCTTCCCATTCCAGGCTCGCACATGGGTTCTACCTTGTCGTGGTGTGCGAGCTTGAAGCGGGATCGGAATACCCGTCAGGGTAGAGTTACGCCGAAACCCCATACCGATTCCCGTGACAAAAGAACCCGAAGTGCCCAAGCTCTTGGTGGAACGGCGCTCTCCTTGAGCAACAGGAACGCCTTAGCAAGGCTATCCTGTGGGACGAAAAATGCTACGACCACTTCTTACATTAGCCTTAGTCCCCTGCAGGCTGTCACTGCTCAGTCGTGTAGCGCTGGTTCAAGCACACAGCCAAAGGCTCATAATCTCAGGTCAAGCTACACAAAAAAGAGAAGAACAAGAGCGAGTCATCTGATAACATGCCAGAAGTATCAGTTCAGCCGCTCAGCTTTCGGCACTCATTGATGCGTAGCTCTAATCTACTCTAAGTCATCATGTTCATCCGGACTCAGGGCGAGACGCAAAGAGATGAAGGAATCGCTTAACATGCCATGCGAATGTGATGGCGACTCAGTTCACTTAGAAGGCCGCAGACACAACTCAACGTCAGGAGGCGCTTGCGTTTCCTTTGTTTCACGCAGACCTTCAGCGAGCATGTACGAAGTGTTACGTTTTTCGGTTATCGTTTCGCGTAACTAATGCCAGATTACTCCAAGGCATGGCTCAGATCTCCATTGATTCAAGCTTACTGCGCCGAGCAGGCAGATTGCCGAGTGAATGATAACACATACCGACTTTCTATGGTCATACTCGGAGAGCTCGTTCAAACAGCAGTAAACGCTCTTGTTATTGATGATGGGCGATTTTCCACGCCGAATCGGATCACGAAGGATTGTGTGAATTATTTAATCGGGTCGCTCATTCCGCAGACAGTCTGCATACGAACTGACAGGAGCAAAGAATGTAGCGACTTCTTGCGGAATCGCTACCACTCTTTCATGGCAACAGCCCAGTTTCTTAAGAAGGCGGTCTTCCAAAGATCGGATCATACGTGATCCGAATGCGCATGCTCGACTCATGAATCGACCACGTTGCTGTTACAATCGAAGGGCTTGCAATCTTTTATGTCTGCTGTTTTACCCCCTCCTTCAACACTGACGATCTCACTTCGCTTCTGCGATGCACCTGATTTTCACTTTCGAAGCGATGTGCCTCATGCGAACGATTACGCTTACGACTCAACTTAGACAAGCATGCCCCCAGACAGATGTGATGTGCGGATTAGCCAGCAGGATTAGCCAGCACAGAATCAATATTAAATGGCGGCGACAATAGATCGACGAAAATATTCAAAGACCGTGTAAACAGTGATTAAAAACTTGCAGTAACGCTGTCGTGGACGTAGGCCCTGACCACACCAGATCGTTCGTATATATCTCCTCTACTCCGCGCGACTGCATTGAAACAAACGATCAGAGGAACAGTCGATCAGTTCAAAGTAATCACTTGTGAGTACACTGCTTCAATCAGGTTGTGCAGTTACGGTACGATATCGCGAGACACGCAGCTTACGGCCCGTGTCAAAGGTTCTACGCTGAAGCGGAGCAAAATGAATAAGAAGCACTCAGTCAGACGCTAGAGAGGATATAAGTCCTAGAGCACCGCTGATGATCCATCGTCTTAAAAGTCGAATACGGTCTCGTTGCGCATTCGCATAGTCAGATGATGGCAGCAGATTATTGAACGTTCTATACACCCTCTTCAATTCGGATCTCCCCAATCGGAAAAGCGTGAAAATCACAGCAAGATGCGCGAGTCAATACTTATTCCCTCGTTCACGTCAGAGTGTTGCGTGCGACGCAACTTTCAAACGAAGCCACAAGGAATAAGCACCCGGTCAAGATGTGAATATCAGTTCAAAACTGCCTCCAGCTTAGGACATCCGCGTTTACCAAAGCTTCTTGCAAAAATGTTATTTCCCACGCTACATCCGTGCATTGAAAGTGTGGTTGCCAACAGCTGTGAAGGCCAATCCGTCACTTGCTCGTGTCACGCGTCGTGTGCTGGATGCTCGGGTCCACCTCGGCAAGTTTTAAAATATGCGACAAGTAAGATCTTAACACGAGTATTATCGGCCAATCAGCGCTCCTTCATACTCTACAAAGTGTTCACACTGTTGTATTTTTGGCGTCGCATACGTAAAGGACCGCTAGAAAGCACAAAGCCGGTCGAACATGCTCAGGAATCCTGTCATAGTTCTTAGCACGTTTAGACCTACACTTGCAACTTGCCGGCGTTTCATAATAGTTAGCTTCCGACGAAGCACCGCATCACTTGTACCTCACGCTTTCGTCCACTACAAGCATAAGCGCTTTGACTCACTGAACAAAAGAAATTCTGCAACGTTTTAGAGAGCAAGTAATTGCAGAAGTCTACATAGTCACGTTAGCTACGAGAATGCCGTTCATACCCCGCGCTTGTACAACACGTTCCGCCCATTTTTCAACATCGTAAAGTAGTCACCAATTGCAGAAAGCGTGTGCTGAAAGTGATCTCAAATCTCACCCAAACCTGTTCTCGCACTGTTTAGAATCTCTTTATTACGTCCGCGTGCATTGCAGATGCAACCTGTTGGGACTTGGAACATCGCACCGTTATTCTTGCCTGAACCATCTGCGATTTCGCTTGCTTGATGCATGTTGTCTGCATCTTACCAAGCTCGCCAGAGAGAAGCTTCGGAGATGACCTATCAATCGTTTGACCAAGCAAAGGATAACTCCGTACGTTTAAGATGAAACATTCTCTCAAAAACTGAAATCAAGTGCGAAATTCTATTCCTGAGTGGCAGACCGTAATGCTTGAAATGGAAACCATTATGAGTGACTTGAGTGAATTAACGAAATGCCTCCGGCAGCCAGCACACTGAACCATGAGGAGATGATTTCAAATTGACACCTAGCGAGACGATGTCGAGTCTGGCATGGCACGCTTTTCAACTCTATATAAGAGTTGTCGCTGGCAGATACATAAAGAGTCATCAAACTCCGCTGCAACCTCTTTCAATACAACAGTCTGCCTAGCCCTCATTCTACGGGGAGAACTTTGCGCCCTAAAGAAAGTCGCACGCAAGAACGCGCTGAAAGTTATCAGGCATCGACTGAGCGCCGCTTATGTAGGCCTGAACGTTAATAGACCATCATAAGTACCCATACACATTGCAGGTGTTATGGAGGACTATCTATCCCCCCAGATTCACGTTGTTTCGTGCCCCGCCGCCCAACAGTTGCCGGGAATGGAGATTACAGCGGCGTAGATAACCCGATTCGCGCTTAACTTCTTCCAGCCTCGCCCACTGCTTATCTTAACGCGAGAATTCCCGCCGCTTTATAACCATCCCTTGCAAGCGCGCCGGTCGCGTGCGCCTCCTGGCACTTTTCCAAGTCTTTATGCCTTCTCATAATACAGCAAGACGCTATTTCCTGATGCAGATATAAAAATTTAATCGGTGTTTCCTCACGCTTCAAAATCATGTACAGAGGATCGACACAAACCCCTCCCACCCGTCTAGAAATGGAAAGCACAACGCATGTAAATAGCTAGAAACAAAACAAAATTGAAAAAATCAAGAAAGGCCAAATATAGATAACTGCCTGTAAATTTC